AGAGAGTTGGCACCACTGTTTCCAAGGTTACTGTGGGTAATACACTAGACATCATAGTTTAAAATTATGCATGGCACAGAAGATTCCTCTGCTTAAATCAGCACACGTCCAGGCCCATCTTAAGTTTGCCCATGACCATTTGGATGATCCAGAAGAGTCATGGGAGAAAGTTATGTGGCCAGATGAAACCAAAATAAAACTTCTTGGTCTTAATTCCACTCGCCGTGTTTGGAGGACGAAGAATGATAAGTACCATCCCAAAAACACCATCCCTACTGTGAAGCATGGGGGTGGAAGCATCATGCTTTGGGGTGTTTTTCTGCACATGGGACAGGACGACTGCACTGTATTAAGGAGAGGATGACCGGGGCCATGTATTGCGAGATTTTGGGGAACAACCTCCTTCCCTCAGAGCATTGAAGATGGGTCATGGCTGGGTCTTCCAGCACTCAATGACCAGAAGCACACAGCCAGGATAACCAAGGAGTGGCTCCGTAAGAAGCATATCAAGGTTCTGGAGTGGCCTAGCCAGACTCCAGACCTAAACCCTATAGAAAATCTTTGGAGAGAGCTCAAACTCAGTGTTTCTCAGTGACAGCCCAGAAACCTGGCTGATCTAGAGAAGATCTGTGTGGAGGAATGGGCCAAAATCCTGCTGCAGTGTGTGCACACCTGGTGACAAACTACAGGAAACATTTGACCTCTGTCATTTTAAACAAAGGCTACTGTACCAAATATTAACATTGTTTTTTACATGTGTTCAAATACTTATTTGCAGCAGTAACACATAAATAAATTATTTTTAAAAAAAATCATACATTGTGATTTCTGGATGTTTTTTTTTTTTTTTTTTTGTTAGATTATGTCTCTCACAGTGGACATGCACCTAAGATGAAAATTCCAGACCCCTCCAAGATTTCTAAGTGGGAGAACTTGCAAAGTTGCAGGGTGTTCAAATACTTATTTTCCTCACTGTATATATGTATATGAGTCAACCTGATTCAAACTACCACAGCTAATCAACTCCTTGGTAAATTATAAAAATGGCTCAAACTCAGTCACATTTACAGACAATGAGCTCTAATTGTATGCAGTAGTAACAGAGTGATCTCCAACACATACTTCAAATGCAGATCATTCGACACCTTTGTTTTAAAGTCTGGCATGCAGCTGACATGAAGGACTCCTTTAAGAAATGTGAGCTTTAAATTTCTCCTAGGTGTTATTTTACCTGTTACTGAGGTTTACAGAAATCTGTTATAGCACACATGTTCTCTCCATGAATGTGTTAAGTTTTCTCCGGGTACTCCAGTTTCCTCCCACAGACCAAAAACATGCATGTTAGGCTGACTGGTAACTCTAAATTGTCCCTAGGTGTGTGTGAGTGAGTGAAAGGTTGTTTATCTTGTTTGTCTCTATATGTGTCCCTGTGATGGACTGGAGACCTGTCTAGGATGTACCCCGCCTCTCGCACAGTGACTTCTGGATATGGGCACCAGTGATCCGGAAAGCAAGAAGCGGGTAAAGATAATTACTGGAAGTTTTAAGAAAGTCTGTGTTTTCATACATGTAGCCCACCTCAAACAACATTTCAATGAGAATCAAATCTTCTGGTCCTTGATAGGTTGCCTACACAAACTATTTGCACTCTCACACATCATTTATGTAGCTGAAGGTAGAAGCAGGACAGCAGCCCTATAATCTTTGTGTGAGAGCCACAGCAACAACATGTTGATAATATCTAAGAGCATCTGAATACTCAAGAGGTACAAATCTCTTTTTAGTGCACACCAGGTCAAGAGATAAAGAGTGATGTCAGAATGAGGGAGGTCAGGCATCCATTCCTCTCTTGTTCTCATCCTGATCACACACTGTAATGGCCTTGTCTCTCCTCCATTAATGTCAGGCTCATCCCTCGTTTCATCTGTTCATCATCACTATGCTGCGGTCGAGCCCTCAGCTTCTGATTTTATCCATGTGAAAATCACTTCTTATCTGGTCTGTTTTCCTCACACTAATCTACAGGGCTTACTGCAGGACTTGAGATGACAAAGACAAATATTCACAAAATATTCAGGTCAGATGATTTACAACAACAAAAAGAGGATGGCAATTCCATCTCGCTTGTCCTCTGACATCAAAACATTCAACTCACTCGGGAGATTAGTGCTATGACTTTAGTTTTTGTTGTAACTTTTCTACTTCTCAAAATATTTAACTTTATTTAAAGTAAATTTCCAAACTGATATTCCTTCAATTCCTTTAAAAAACACTGTTCTCTCCAAAATCTACTTCTGCATACTTTGTTTTTATATGAACTTTTTAGCCATCTAGCTAATATTAATTTGTTTTCCTACATTTAGCTTTTCATCAACAGCTTTGCTGATTTAAGCTTTTAGCTATGATTTTGCTTGTTTTAGCTTATAGATGTTGTTTTGCTCACTGCTACTTTTAGCTCTATGCTAGTTTTACCTTTTAGCTACGATTTAGCTTTTAACTACTGTTCAGCTCAAGCTTTAAGCTACAGTTTTGCTAGTTTTGGATTTAACTGCTGTCTTGTTAATTTGAGCTTTCAGCTGCAATTCTGGTCATTTTAGCTTTTAGTTACAGTTTTACTGACGTTTTCTGCTTGTTTTAACGTCAACAATTCAGTCAATTCATTCTTCAACAAATTTGAACAAAGTCAGCACTCAACATTCACACTGCATATTCACAGAAAATGCAGTTTCACTAGTTTATATTGTTAATTTACTTTCCTTTGCCTCTCATACGAACATAATATCCTTGGTAGATCTAATTTCTAAACTCATTTAAAAATGGGAAAGGACAATATTGTCAGCATCAAGGGAAATAAAAGTCAAATGTGTCTACTTGGTACCAATAGCATCATCTTTGTCCACCTGTGAGCTCACCTCAATGATTTTGCGAGCTTCACGGTAACGGCCTGTTTGCAGGAAGGCGAAGAACAGATAGTACAGCATGGTCATCTCCCCAACCTCATGACTAATACAGTCCATGGCTGAAAAGATAACAGGCAAGCAGAGAAAGAGAGCAGAGAAGGGTTGTGAATCAAAATGTCCCAGAGGTAATCAAACAAACCACATTCTTCATCATTTCCCCCAGATTCCATTATTTGGCACATAGTCCCCGGCACAAAGCGCTTGTATCAAGTCTGCCCACAAACACACATAAATTCCTGAGTCAAAGCCGAAGCTCTGCTGGTGAACTCACTAAATCATTCAGCTCAGCATTATAGACTATCTCTGTGCAGCAGCTTCAGGACAGGTAACACACACACACACTTTGTCCAAATGAGACTGCACATTCAGCAAAGCCAAGGATGAAAAGTAACTCCTCTCCCTTTTGTGCTTTGTGAACTTTTAGTCACTCAGAAATTAAACATGCTTTAGATTTACCGCTGCCAAGTTTGCAAACAGGTTGAGTTGGCTTTTCATTTTACGATTTCTAAATTAAAAGCTGTTGTGCTTTTCTTTTATTGGAAAAAACCCTGCAGTTTTTCAACCTAACTTTTTTTGTTGATGTCTAAATTTAATTTGAGGTTGGAAATATGAGTGAAGAACCTTGGACAAGCTGTGGCCTGCTTGGTTCATTGAAGGCTAAACTGCTTGACGATGATAGTTTACGGAGATTTAAGTCAAAAGGAGAGTTTTCAGGCTCCCCAACAAAAAAATGAGTTAAAACCACTCAGCTCAGATTCAAACGACAGAGTAGGACATGGAATAATTGGCATTTTGAAAACGTGATTGGTGTTTTAAATGCTGTTTGAACGTAAAAACTGTAAAAGTTATTTTGTTTGTTAGGACAGGATGACAGACTATTGAGGGCTTGTCACCTTTTGGGATGTGTGTGGATGAAACGGAGGGACAGCATGCGGAGAGGTGCTCCACTGCTCGGCCTCGACCGTCACACACTCAGAGCCACTTGCCCACTCGACACATTGAACTTGACATTTTCACTGTGCCACTGTAGAACTATAGAGAGGCTGCTCTAAAAATGACTGGATGAGGCGCTTCACTATGACCCTGGTCTAAACCTTTCTGACCCTTGGGTCCTCTGATACACTTTTGGAATAGCTGGCGCCTAATGTGTGCTTTTAATGCAAATACTAAAAGAGCACTTTGAAAAAAAAAACAAAAAAAAACAGTGTAACATGTTAAAGTTAAAAAACTAATGAAAGTACCACAATGCTTAAGAATGTGTATTTTTAACATTATTGCCAACTAACATGGAATATCCTGGAATATCTTGCCAAAAGATCTGAAGCTCTCGACCTTGACCTCTCTAAGTGGCTTTAAGAATCTGTTGGACTCCTGGCAAGGACCAACCAGACATGTTCCTGTTTTTAGTTTTCTACATTTGCCTTATAATCTAGTCGTTTTGCCATTTTTTTGCCATCTTATTTTTAATTTGTATAAAAAAAAAATCTGTATGCCTCTTTTATGATTGTCTATTGTTGTCGCTGTTGTCCATTGTTGTCATCATTCTTTGTTGAAATCAGGTCTCTCTTGTAAATGAGTCCTCGAGGCTCAATGGGATTAACCTGTCTAAATAAAGGTTGAATGAATGAACAAAAAAAACATGAGTCAAATACCGTATTTTCCACTGTATAAGTCGCATCGGTCCAAAAATGTCCAATAAAGTAGAAAAACAACATAAATACGTTGCTTCGCTGTATAAGTCGCATCTATTATGCGTCACCGCTGACCACCTGGAAATGTGGGCCAGTATTGTGCCAAAAAAATCGATTGGCTGCCAAAAAGGCAGCTGCGGGAGCGCGCACAGGAGGACTTTAACAAGAATTTAACAAGATTAACACTTAAAAACAATTATTTGTTTGCTCGAAATTATAGCAAAGGTGCATCTCAGTTGAACTTTTATCAGCTGAATTTCAAAAATCGATTTGCGGCTGCAGGAGCGCGCAGAGGGAGGACTCGCTGTGCATTTCTTTGAAATTTAACAAGATAACCACCTAAACACAATTATTTGTTTGCTCGACATTATAGTAAAGGTGTGTCTCAGTTGAACTTTTCCTTATTAAATGCACTTTAATGGTGAAATCAGCTGCATTTCACCTGGGCGGTGTGGCAAAATGCAGCTGATTTGACATTTGCTTCAGGAGGTCCAGAGCCAGAAGAAGGTGGCTTGGTATGGCAAGCCAAGTGTCTCATTAATAGCAATTTTTACCTATTAATGAGACACTTGACTTGCCATAAAACTCGACAGCCCTCTAGTGGCTAAAAATGGTAGTGTTCAATATTTTCCATGTCAGAATGAATGAAATCATTAGATCTCTGCCAAAAATAGGGTTATTAATATGGGGGGGAAAACATATATTAGTCACTTCAGTGCATAAATCGCAGGACTTGCAAATGTATGCAAAAAGGTGCGACTTATACGGCAAAAAATATGGTAATCATGTGCGTCTGCAAGCAAATTATCTCATGAACCTGAAAAAAAGATTTTAACAAAACCCTAAAAAATAATAATAATAATTGAATGTTCACCTACCACTGTTTAAATCTAGCTGGGTTTTTTTTTTGCTACTTTTTCCTTTTGACTTTCCTTTTGGTTGTCATCTTATTTTGATTTGTTAAAAAAAATTAATTTGTATGCCTCTTTTATGACTGTCTAATGTTGTCGTTGTTGTCCACTGTTGTCATCACGCGTTGTTAAAGAAATCAGGTCTCTCTTGTAAATGAGTCCCTGAGGCTCAATGGGATTAACCTGGATAAATAAAGGTTGAATGAATGAAAACTCAGAACAAAACCCTTTTCAAGATGTCTGCCACAGCTTATTGTCCTTAGAAAAACATAAAAACGGCTACAGCGCACTCGTTTTTTATTTTTAGATTTGAGATAAATTTTTGTATGGCAGCAGCTGAGCATCATCTACATCACCCATAGGTGATATCCATTAAATTTAGGAATGCTGATTTAATATGTCACGCCTTGTCAATGGATTTAAGTCAAAAACACACATGGATCTGAGGTCTGCAACACTTTTAGTCCTTCCAGTGACCTACACCTCCTTAAAATCTTTTATTTGTACTTTTTCAAATCCAAAACTTCAGACTGGTTTCAGAACATTAGGTATATTTATATACATAGACCTGAGAATAAGTCTACAGAAGATCACTTAACTTTTTATTTTCTTAATGTGTAACATGTTAAAATAGTGTAAGAGTACAGCTTAAGTGGAATATAATGTCTGTTGTTGACTTTTGTTGTTTTCTTGCAGGGGATGAAATGATATATACAAAGTTGATTGTTGTTCTGCTAAAGGTTATATCAGAAATGAACCTTTTTGTAGTAAATCGGTGTCTCCTTTCTCCACCAGAGCAACAGCGAGGTCATGGACGCACGGCATCTTGTTGTAGAGCTTGTGAAACTCCAGGATTGCTTCGAGAGCGCCGGTCAAGTCGCCTCTACACACACACACACACACACACACACACACACACACACACACACACACACACACACACACACACACACACACACATGCACGCACGCACACACAAACATGGAGAGAGATGGGGGAGGAAAGTTAGATGCCAGGTCCGTCCAATCAGTCATGTACAGGATTGTGTCAGTGGAGAATAAAGAGTGTATCATGGGGTGTTAACCCCGTGGCCTCCAATTCAAGCACCATGACCCATTCAAACAATACGGGCCTTTGATTTTATGACAGCACAACTGAGAGAGATGAAGCCTTTTGCCCTCAATACATCATTCTCACACAACCAGGCACGCTCTCGCACACCTTTCTGTGAGGGGCTAATGACTCTATGGACAGGCTTTTAGATGTGAAGCAATACAGCAGATAAAAGGACTTCACTGATCTTTACCCTCTCTGCACAGACTCAAACTTCTCCTGCGCTCCGTCTCTTTTGTCCAACCCGAACCTTAACCTCCCCTCATTTCCTCTCCTCTCATTTCCCTTCTCTCCCAAACTTCACATTTCCTTTCAGTCTTCATTATTTTATCTTCTTTTTTTGATTTCATGCCGCCAGCTTCTTGACTATGACCTCCCCGCTCCACCAGCTGAGCAACCCTTTCATAACTTGTGCCCTTCTTCTCATGTCATCCTTTTCTCGTTCCGTCCATCCCCTTATCTTACCTCGCAACAAACAAAAGTGCTCACAGAGAGAGGATTTGTGCCCGATGGAGTGATCACGAGAAAAGAGGAGGGAAAACAAGTGAGTTTGCAGAAGACCACTTCAATCCCCTCTATTGTGACAGTGCTGCCATCAATCTGCTGATTGGGTAATTACCATGTCAATCACGCAGAGGTCAAAGCAGATAGGGCTCTCATGGGGGAGGAAACAGCTTGAATGTTAGATTGAGAGTGAACAGGTGTAATTTCTCAAGTGTTTTCGACTCTAATCAATTAGATGAGCACAGATACAAAAATATGCCCCAAATGACCAACAACGTGGAAAATGTATAAAAACACACACACCCATTTGACCTTGGTTTCGGTTTCTGTGCGGCAGGAAAAGGGGAGAGGGAAGAATGGAGGAGGAATAGAGTGATTGGGGCTGGAAGGCAAAGAGGTCTGCTAATTGAAATGAAGAGGCACAACATTATTCAGCAGTGCCGGTGAAGAGGCTGTTCAACGGCACAACAGTCTGACTGAACAGCACGAGACAAAGAGATTTTTGAAAACGAGAGGAACGCCGAGACTGAGCGAGAGCGACAAAGGAGTTCATGTCTCTCCAAATGAGCGGAAAAGAAAAAGATTTTGTGCAAAACGTGTAACATTTTACATACAATGACATTGTTTCTTTTGTGGTGCATATGGAGTCATTTCATGTTGGTGGATGCTTCATCTCTGTTAACTGTCCACCTCATCATCTCCTCCATTAAACACTTATAATCCCTCCATCCTAATAAGAGATCTTAAAAAAGTACTCAGTCTTTTGGAAAGAAAAAAAAAAAAGGGGGGGGGGGGGGCTGGGGCTGGCGTTGCAATTACACCCCACCTCTCCGGCTGCTGATCCACCCCCTAAAAAGAGCTAAAGATGTCGAAAGATGGCTAATTTCCCCTAGGTACAATTTAACTGTCACTTTGCGTTGCCATTTACTGCGGCGCACAGCCCCGTTAATGTCCCCAACTTTGCATGTCAGCCACTTTCCAGCCAATTAAGTCCTGAAAAAAATAACAAGTGCTTTGCTCAGTGGAAACCTGAAGGATGAGACAGGGTGGCTCATCTTGACTAATCTCTACACCCCCTCCAATCAGGTTTTCCTTTTGCCCTGTCCCATTCCTTTGTTTAGGGGAGACGGGCAGCCCCGTTACCAAGCCACTGTCCTCGCATGGGGGGGGGGGGGGGGATGAGGTGTCTGTGTCTTGAAACACAAATGAGACTGTGATCATGACACCACTAGCCTGCTGTTAGATGTGCGCAAGAATGGCACTTACTTATTACAGACATTATCTCCACCCCTGCCAGGTGATTGTGTGTAAAATGTGAATTATTTGGTCATACAAAGCCAGGTGAACATTTTACAAATAAATATGGCAACTTGTTATTTAAACATTAGGTGTCAAGTTAACATGAAAGCTATTTAATTTTAACTACTATATCTTATAATATGCAAGCCTTTTCAGTCCATGGTTGATTTACAAGATGAAAGTAAATATAGTTTTCATCCTCTACATATGTTTAAACATTATCTGAATCAAAAAGTAATCAAGACTTTAATAAGGCTAAAATTGGAAAACGTGCTCGTAACCCACTTTGAGGAGTATTTTCTAAATATTCAAATAATCTTTTAAGAAACTATGCCAATATTTAAATGACTAGAAAACTCAAAACTAACTTATTCAAAATGTATTTATTTCTTCTCAAATAAATTTTTATCCCCGATTCATGTAAATTACAAACTAATGTTCACTTCCTTTAAAAAAAAAAATGTGTAATTTAAAATATGTTTTTATTATCTTGATTCTGTACTATCATGCAGACCAAAAATAAAATTCTATGATCTTTGAACAATGTTCAGTCAGGTCAGCTGGATGGTTTCTCTTTTATTTATTTTTATTTTTTGCTGAGACGTTTCGTCCTTCATCTAAAGGACTTCTTCAGTCCGAGGAGCCACAAACAAACTGGAGTCCCACAAATACCACACTCCCGAACTTGGATGTTTTTTATGACTGTGCAATGACTGAACATTTTTGGATTTGTACCTGGATTATTGAGCACAAACTTTGGTATGATCTTGGTGGGGGGGGGGGGGGGGGGGGTTGAATTTTTCAAATTGTACAAAAAATTAAAAAGTAATATGATACTGGGATTTGCATTGATTGAATTTGGTTTGAAAAGTAGATACTGCATTGACATTGACATTTTTTCTTAAAGCTGCGAAATTAGTCACTTCAACTGGCTGGATACCTGCACAATAACAAGGATTTTACTTTTCCAAAGCAGTTACAAGGACTGCTGATATCAACTAAATAAAGATTTTATTCCACATTTAAAGGTCCAAGTAGGTGATGTCCTTGGTTTTCTAATATTTTAGTCTTCATCTTTGTTCAGTGTAGCTAACAAGCTCGGTGCAAAAATGTACTGAATAAATCAAACTTTAGCTCTTAAATGTTAAAAGTTCATTATCGTGGTCCAGTGAACTTAGCGGAGCATTTCATCGTTTTTTTCAAGATTCAAAGGGATGAACATGAGGTTGAGCTCAAACAGAATTCTTCAAGTTTAATATTTATCTGTTAAGCTTTTAGTCTCATGTTCCTCTTTTTTTCAGCTTTTGCCTATTCCATTTATCTACTGTAATTATTTTAGACCTTAGCAGTGGAAGTCAATGAGGCATGTTTCCTCTGGGCAGCTCATCTCTTTTCAGCTATGTGCCCACCTCTTCATACTCCATCATTCTGCTGCTGCCTTATACATGTCCTGCCAGCTCTTCATTTTGTTGGACTCATTAGCATTTACTGTCGCTAATCACTTCCTCAAGGATGGCAATCTGAGCTAGCTGCCAACAAGCGCGGTGGCAGGTTAGCACACACAATACTGAGCGGACGGGCATGAAGGCTAACGGGGCGGCGTGTATGATGGGCTGTCAAGGGCTAATCTGGCAGAGAAGTGTTCATTAAGTCATTAGCGCTGACGCAGCGATGAGATGGGTGCAGACGAGAGTGATGCCTGCTTTGTCCTCTTTTATAGCTTCCCTCCATCCCTCCTCCCCCACCCGACTGTCTGTCTGTCCACTGACTGACGCAATGAAGAGGTGGAGACGAACACGTGAAGATAAAAAGAGAAAAGTCAAGTGCTGTGGTACTTAAACCTGCCCTGAAGCTCGGCTGCACCGCTGCTTTACAATTCTGAAGGTTTCACACTTGCAAAAAACTTTTAGAAGAGTAAAAATTAATTGAAAAAAGTTTTTACAACAAGGATTTTATGATGAAAGCAACAGAGATTTGGTTTAGTTTACTTCCTGCATCAAAACCTAAAGTATCAAATCATAAAGTGATAACATTCTGTTCACTTTTAGCTCAGTTTTGTAAAAATAAATAAATCAACTAAATCCTGAAGGATAAAATCTGATGAATCTCTAAAAAGAAAAAAGAAAATAAAAAAAAAAATTAAAGTATAAGTGACACTTTCTATTGTTTTAAAACTCCAGTGCCAGGTAAAATTGTGAACTTGAATTTTGTGCATACATTCGGCTCCTTACCTAGGCCTCGTCAGCTAACGTGTTACCAGCTGCTTTCTTGTTCTCACGTGTTCAGTAGTATGTGTTTGCTGCTGTATCAGCTGGAGGAAGTACAACTGGCGCTTGATTTGTAAGCTCGGCTGCGGTAAGCTGCTGTGTGTGTTTGTGTTTTGGCTGCCGTTGATGACCCAGGAGTAAATTAGTCTGCTAATCTCAGAGAGGCAGTGATTATCGAGTGAACCTGGAAACTCTGTTTGTGCCAGAGAAAAGAGTTAAAGCAACACAAACAGCAGCAGGGGAGTACCTTGTGTATGTGTGTGTGTAAGCATCATTTGCAAAGGTCTACCTCTTGCGCTGCAATGCACAAAAGGTAGACCGTATGAAAGCATGTGCAGGTTGTGCATGGTGGGCCCCTGACAGTGCACAGAGTGTCTATAGTAAATCCAGCAATTAGTGTTCTGTGCATAATTAACATGCTAATGAGTCGATCTAGTTAAAAGCTGCACCCACAAAAAGAATACACACGCACGCACTGAATAACATGCTGAATAGAGTTGAAAGGTGGGCCAATGCCAGTGACCCCATAGTGCATGTTTGCTAACACTTATTTGCATATTTGCCTTATGGGAAGAAGCATCGATGGCCAGCTCTCTCCACTAACGCACTTAAATCTCAAAGGACAGCGGTGGGTGTTTCACGAGCTCATGGGCGGAGGCTCATGGGAGAGGTTGCAGCTGGCGCATCCTCAAACAAACAAAACCTGGCTTTAACACACAAATACACACTTAACATAAATGAACAATTTCCACATCCTCTCCCTTTCTGAATCGCTGACCCAGACGATAACCTCAGCTATGATCATAGGGAGGGATGAGTGACTCGCTGAGAAACACATACATACACACACCTGGCAACAGACTTTTGGCAGATCAGGACACAAATTTTCAAAACAAAAGTGAGCTTGTTGGCTGCTTAATGGAACATTGGAGTCATGAAACTACAGCATACCACAACAAAAACACATGTTTAAACATTAAATCTGGGTAAGACAAGTTTGATTTTGTCAGCTTGGTTTAGTGACAATGCCAGTTTTACCTGTTCAGGAAAGCCCTAACTATTGGTGAGTAGAGACTGGAAGTGGGGTTTGCCAGTCCAAGAGTGACGATGGTGTCCAGTAGATGGCGGACGGTGGATATATCGCCCTCGATTGATACTGCGGTAAGCATGTGAAAGACGCCGATCAATTGGGAGCTAGTGAACACCAGCCCATTCTCTTTCACCTCCTTCAGGATGTCCACTGCTTCTGTAGGGGGAGACGAATGAAAGAGGTGCATCACTGAGATGAGTGGATAAGTTTCCATGAAAAAGCTGGGACATGAGTGATTTAAAAATAAAGAAAAAAGAAAACAACAAAAGACGAGAAGAAAGCGAGATAATGCAGAAAGATGAGCAGAGAGAAAGCAAGAGGTGGGCAGAGCTTGGCTTAGAGTAGGGTGTGTGAATATGATAAAAGGCCCCTTTAGCTAATTCCATGTAGGGAAAACAAACCCATATTAAAACAGCATTTTGCACCCAGCGGGGACTCAAATCCAACCCCGTATAATGCCAACTCTGTGCTAATTGCTACTTGCAGTTTTCTAAACGAGACTACAATTACCAGACCTCTACAATGGAGGCCAGCTTTTTGCTGTGGCCATGTGGAAAGCACTTGGGGGGCTAAATTATAGGTATGTGGCAACAAGGGCCTGTTGTGGCCCCAGAAAGACCTCAGTAAGCGGGCTGAGGGGTGGATCGGTTTGGTCAAGTCGAGCTGGTAATGGAGGGCTTTTTACTGGGCCAAGCGCCCATCTGGCCAACATGAGAGGCTAAATGGTGAAAAGAGAGTGTTATGCGTGTATATGTGTGTTTGGGTAAAGTAATTAAGAAGCGTTTACTGTCTATTTAGACAGCTGCTAATGGGCTGTCAGTGATACAGCCGCTATCCACCACAGATACTAATCTATACACCAAGAGCAATAAAGAAGAGATGGAGAGATGCAGACACACTGAATTCATCTGAATAATCTGCATTCAATCTCCAGTTGAAGGACAGTAACAACAATGCTTAAAAACTACAAGTTATTTTTGCTGCTCTTTCTGGTATTAATAAAAAAACACCAAAAAAGGAAAGCACATTAAGTGAACAAATGCTGGTGTAATAATTCCTACACCTACGCGGTTGTTACTACAACAAAACTCCCGGTGAGAGCTTTGGCATCCTAATTTTCATCTGTCTCTGCACCCATCCACCTCCTTGTGCCAGCTGTTATGGCAATGTCACCCAAAAACTGCCACTGATTTAATGTGACAAGGGAAAACCGGGGTGTGAAGGGTGGAACTGGGGCAATGAACACTGGAAGAACCACTATAAAATACAGCGGTTAAAGGCAAATCAGTGCAAGAGGGATGAATATGTTTGAAGAAGTTGGTAAGCAGAATGCAGGTTTAACATCAGCACACACAACAACAAGAAAAAAGGCATGAACAGGGTTTATGTCACTAGTTTCCTGCTCACTACATTTTTTTTAACAATAAAAGCAAATCAAAGGAAAACAAAGTGAACGCTCCTGTTTCATTTTCAACACCTGCAGTGTTTCTGTAACCTGTACACCTAGCTGTGGTCAATGTTTTAGTGAAGCAACAAAAGCAAAGAAAATAATTTGGCTATGTTAAACCTGTTTTGTAATACAGGGCTTTGGTCTGAAATAATTAAATTCAATTAAGTTTTTTTTATATTCGTCAATTCACAAAAAACATTGGCTCACGGCACTACAAAAAAAACCCATTAGGGATTCTTCAATGGCCCTGGAACGAAGCGCACCCTTTCTCTTCCCTCTCCCTGTCCTCCACCTGCTTTTTTGCTCTCTGTCTTTGCATAGGAGCTCCTATTTTTACACATCTTCCTAACTAAAAACTACTGTTTTGGATCTGACCAACTGGACTTTCGCGCAAATGACAATCTTTCCAACAAAGCGACACGGTCCTGGAGAACCCTCATCTGCTCGGATGACACGTGCAGCTGGATATATCTCTGGGGAAGTGGAATGCGATGTGTCTACCTCTGCTACTGATCGAAGACGCCGAAATTGCATATAACTGGATTTATGATAATAGGTTACCTGTTTTTGGAATTGTTTGGTTTCTGGTTTATCAACATACTAATGCCCTTTTTCCATTAGTACCTGTAGTACCGGTACAGCATGGCTCTACTCTACTCGGTATGATACATATTGTGTTTCCATTATGTTTTCAGTACCGGTTCCAGTAGGCGGGGCTCAAATTGATGTCACCCCCTCTCACCAGCTGCTGGTGGTGAGAAGCTGAAACTGTTTTCAGTACAGGGTGAGAATTTATTTTAAGTTGTGTGTATGTGTGTGTATATATATATAAACGTGTGTGTGTGTGTAACCAGATTCTACAAAAACATCTATATTTAAAATTTTATAGGTTTTCTTCATCATTTGATGCATTTGTGTCTACTTTTATTGTTCAATTAGATGTGTAGTTTTGTTTCTTGTTCACATATATATATTTTTTTTTTTAGCTTTGCTTAAAAGTTCTTGTTTTGTGATTTGTACATTTGTGGGTTAAAATGAAGTTGAAATAAAGGCTGTATCTCGTCTTTAAACATGTTTGAGGGAAATATTCCTGAGAGATCCAATAATTGTGTCTTTTTATGATTTTCAGCTGAGTTAACAGATAGTCATTAAAGTGAAAACAGGATTTCATAATAAAGCCGACAGTTTATTATTATTATTTTTTTAATCTTCAACGCACAAAAAAACAAAACAAAACAAAAAACCTTTTCTTTTCTTTTTTTTTTTCGTCACTCAGTCCTCTTCCCCCGGAGCCTCGGAACCAAAACTAAAAACTTAAATCCTGTGTCATCTTCCCGGCTCTGAGTTCTGCTGGTGACTCTCAGAGGGCCGTTGCCAGACCACGGCCTTGCGTAATCATAAAGGCTGAACCCCGACCCAGGCAGATGGGCGGACCGGGACGGGTCTGGAACGGATGGTGGAAGCGATTTTTAAAAACATTTTATGTATGAAAACAAAATATTAGTTTATTTAAAAATCACTTCCACCGTCCGTCCCAGACTCGTCCCAGTCCGCCGTCGTCCCAGTCCGCCGGGATCGGGATTCGGCCTTCATGATTACGCAGGGCCGGGGTCTGGCAACGGCCTTCTGCAAGTCACCAGCTCAAATGTTCCTTCGCGGTGACCAGCGGAGCTATGAGCACGCAAGGCCGGGATCCAGAGCCCGAGCCCCGAATCGGCACTACAGAGGATTTTCCGTGGTGATCAGTGGAACTCGGGAGCCGGGGAGATGATGCCCTGCCCGGCCTGGCTCCGAGGCTCCAGGAGCGAGGACCGGGGAGACCAGCAGAGCTCCTTCCAGCTCGCTCTGAATTTTGTCGTTGGCCACCAAGCACAAAAAATGCCAGCATGTCAGCATTAGACCACGGTGTTGTCATTATTGTTTTTAAAATAGGTCCAGTCGCTGTTCCGGTCTGAGAAATTGCAAATGGCAGATCAATGTTTTGAAAAGTTTCTGAAGGATCCAGTGACTTCGCCCCAGACCAGTCAGTCACCGACAGTGTTCTGACGTCACGTTTTCGTACCTACTCAGTTGGGTTAGAACAACAGAGCCAAGGGTCCTGAAAATAGGGACAGGTTCTACGTACCGTTACTAATGGAAAAGCCTTGGAACCGGGCTGAGCTGGGTCCAATTGGGCCGTACCGTTACTAATGGAAAAGGGGCTAAAGAAGACGGCCGCAGCTAATTTGGCCCTCGTCAGGCTGCTGCTGCTTATGTGAAGGCTTGGTTCATGCTTTGAGGACTCAAAATCAGCTGATTTATGAGTTAAAACGTAAGATGGAAGTGATTTGAATTGTAGGCCACCTGCGGCTTTAGACTCGTCAGCATGGAAACGACCTTGAAGAGGCTCGTAAGCACGGACCAGTAGAACGCGCCCTAATCTGGCCATTTCAGATCTTGGAAGTATCAGTAAGACTCAAGGTTGACAAGAAAAAAATATCTGCCTGAATAAATCAACAATTGTGGATGACTCCCTGGTTGACCTCGAAACATGCAGACTTATCAAATTCTCCTGGAAAATGTGTAAACTAAAGAAAAGCATAGTCTATCGCAACCCCCCCACCAACTTCTGTGGAGGCTTATCAGAACTATGTCGGCTGACCATTATCTTATCAGGACAATGGACTATATGCATCATGGACCGCCTTGTCATCAAATGCATATGTAACGTGTTGATAAATGTGCTTGCTGGCAGTTTTTTTGATGTTTTAAATTGTGTCCTGTTAGAACAAAGTGTGAAGAGATCCTTTTTTGTAATGCCACTATCCTCTCCTCAAGGCTTTGTCCCTTTTTCTATCTAAAACATGTATTCTGAAAAAAATAAGGCGGCTGCACTTTCTTTCGGACGACTGTACAGACATATTCTCGTATCTCGGTACAATGATAATAAAGCTTATTCCGATTCTGGTTATCGGAATGGTATCAGTCGATATATGCGATAATGTTAAATATCTGATATCAGCCATTCCATCAAAATAACTCGCTGATATAAAAGGCTTCTGTTTTATTTATTTAAGAAACTGTCAAGTATATCCATCACTGCTACTTATGCATGTTTCACTTGTTGCTTGTGAACAGGTTGAGTTTAGATGTATGAACATTTACAAATTTGCATTGTTCGAGTATTGCCATTATGTTAGAGAGAGTAAATGTCATGAATAAATTTGGCATTAAACATAATCCAAGTTCAAGTGTTACATCATTTTCAGCCCTGTTTGGCATCTGCATTCGGTAGCAGGCCAAATTGGGGAGTGGTGGCACAGAGGTTGGAGAGGGTGGGCCTGTGATCGGAAGTTCGCCGGTTCAAGCCCCAGTACCAACAACATCAAAAATGTGGGTGGGGTAGGTGAAGCACCCACACCTGCCCCCACCCTCATTCGTCCCACTCTGGGCCCTTGAGCAGGGAGCAGCCGAAAGAAGAAAAAATAAAATAAAATTGGTAGCAAGCCAAATTGACAAAGACCATGCAGAATAATGTAGTATTTTAATTCCGCAGCAGAGAAATCTATCTAGTCTCTGTAAGTAGGTCTAGGGAAAAAAATATTGGGATCGGCCGAATAAGTTTTAACATATCGGCATATCGGATATCAGCCAAAAATCCAATATTGTGCATCTCTACCTCATATACATTATAAAATGCCAATTAGTAAAAGTTATCTATCTGACA